GTGTGTGTGTGTGTGTATGTGTGTGTGGCTCTTTGCAGTCACACATTAAAAAAAATTGGCTGTTCGTCTCTGACTGGTTGGCCACCCCTGATGTACATGATTTCTCTCCTACATGATTTCTTTTGAGCTGTAAAGCTGCACAGGTTTAAAATACGACAAAATAGAAGTTGCACTCTGGCAGCATCTGATGGGACAAGCCATTAGTCACAACTACCAAAGAAAGGTGTCTGAACGGTCATCCGATTGACGACCTCTGGTTCCCACTGAAAGACCCTCCAAAAAAGGAACTAATCAATCGATTCCAGAGCAATTGTATCCTTTCTGGGGGGGAAAAGACTTCCAAAACATGTAGCTCAATGGTACAAAAGGGCTACTGCACTGGAATACCTTTATTCCAGGTCGAGCCATGGTGTACATCAGCAAGGCTCCAGATATAGCCACACCGCCTATGATTCCATACTGCACCCGCCAGAAACTCAGCAGGAAGGTCATAATGAAGGGAAGGAGGTCAAGCTCTTCAGGATGACACAGCAAAAAAAGGGGGTGAGGTAAAACTGTGAAAGTACACTGTGTACGAATGCAGAAAAACATACTATGTATCTTCCATATCTTAGCCACGACACGATAGTCAACCATGGGAGTGACGGCACAGATGACAACAGCAGCGAGAGAAGCTTTTGGGATGTAGTAGAAGGCCGGCATGAGGAACGCCAAAGACAGCAACACTATCCCACCTGCAAAAACAAATATTTACCAGTAAAGTTATTTTTTCAGGCCAGACTAACAATTAACATGTATCAGATGCTCAAATAAAACCGGAGTACCGGTAACATTTCAGGATCAAAGCCAACATACAATAAGTGACAGTAGCTTTGGAAGAGCTGTTTGAACAATATATATTACTCTAAACGGGAGGAAAAGCATTTAGGTGTGGGAAGGTGATTCGGTCGTGCGCAAAAGCATGTTGAGACACATAAGTCAGTGGTTTCAATTGTTAACTGTCATTCTAATGTTGAGAAGTTTGTTTACATTTTCCTTGTCGAGCGCTCTGGCAGGTTAGAGGTTTGAGTTCTTCATTTACTATATTCTTATAACATCTCATAATTTCTCAAAGGCTTTCTGGACCGTGACGGTGAGGTCACTGGGTTCAAATGAGTAAATCCTCCATGTCACTTCAACCAATTTCAGTGGAATCAACTGACACCTAGTAAGAGATGACTTTGGAGGTTCTACACATTACGAGCTGCACATTAATAGACATACACCAATCAGCTGTAGCAATATAGCCACCCGCAAAGTCTAATCACAAAGGTGTAATGAAAAGCTATATGAAATAATATGCCTTAAAAATGTTAATCACGCTCTGCATTACACAGTACAGTAGGGGGGTATTAATTCACAATTAAAAAAAAAGATGTGTTTATTGTTGTGGCTGTAGTTTAGACCAGGGGGTGCCCGAGCCTGGTCCTCAAGAGTCCCTACGCAGCCTGTTCTAGATGTTTCCCTACTCCAACACTCAACTCAACTCAACTGTATTTATAGAGCACTTTCAAACAGCCATCGCTGCATACAAAGTGCTGTACATGGAGCAATTTAAATGAGATGGACTTGACAGTGTAGGTGGGCAGGATATTTAAAAAAACAAAAAACAAAAACAATATATAGCATATGCGCTGTTGTAAGACTGATTTAATAATGTTTTTAACATACATCAATGCAAAAAGGTGTGGACTCACTTGTGACAATCCCTCCAGCTGGAGTACAAACCCCAGTCTGTGAATTCACTGCAGTCCTAAACATGATGACAAAAGATGAATTTTTACACACTGTCCATGTTTATTCCTCCTCTCTTCTTCCCTTCCTCTCTCTCTCATACACACACACACACACACACACACACACACACACACCTGCCAAAGCTGCCAGTTACAGGGTAGGCTGAGACAAAGGAGCCCATGACATTGGTCATACCAATTGCCAACAGTTCCTGGTTGGTATCTATTCTGTAGTTGTTCTGCTTGGCTAAGGACAAACAAGAAGGCAAAAGTTGAGAGCACTGGCCCAAATATCGTGTTGAATAGAAAACTCCTTCTACGACACCTGTAAAATTGAGATTGTTAATGCAATCACAGATTAATTTTTTATACATTCATGTGTAAGGGTCCTGCATGTCATACACTTGCTGTCTGATTAGACTCTTGAATTTTCTCTTGGCTGGGGGTGGGTGGTGGGGTGTAGCTTCTATTTTATTTGAGTAGTGGTCATCAACCTTTTGAAGCTGAGAGATACCTCTTGGCTACTGATTCCTGCGAAGGAATACCAGTTTGATACACACTTCTGAAATAACAAACTTGCTCAAATTACATTTAATCCATCCATCCATCCATTTTCCGATCCGCTTATCCTCACAAGGGTCGCGGGGGGTCCTGGAGCCTATCCCAGCTGTCTTCGGGCAGTAGGCGAGGGACACCCTGAACCATTTGTCAGCCAATCGCAGGGCACACAGAGATGAACAACCATCCGCGCTCACACTCACACCTAGGGACAATTTGGAAAGTTCAATCAGCCTGCCGTGCATGTTTTTGGAATCATCTTGGAAAGACACTGCTTTTGCAGTATGGTTCTTGTTTCCTCATAAGATAAGAAAACCTTTATTTGTCTCACAATGGAACAATTCCCAAATGCAAGAATACAAAAGCATCCTGCATCTAATCCAGGTCTACAACATATTATTTCAATAATTTTAACTAACAAAGATATTGTACACTGCAATTGCAGGGTCTACCCCGCCTACTGCCCGGAGACAGCTGGGATCGGCTCCCTCATGCTTGCGACCCTCGTGAGGATGAGTGGACTTGAAAACGGAGGATACGGAGGAGATACCAACATGAACCTTTGTCCACTTGGAAAACTGATGGAGAATACGCAAATACAATGTTATCATGTTTATAAATTTCATTTCGTTACATGCTTAATTAACCTCGAATGTGTCTGTTTATACAGCTGGTCAGTTTGACGTGAATGGAACCAAGGCGCTTGTTAACTGATAAGTTATGAAGAAAGATTCAACTTTGGGCGGATAGGGAGGACAGAATACGCTGTAGCATAATAAAATGTTCTTCAGCAAAAGTTACAGATGTATCAGATCATGGGAAGATGTTGGTACTTGTACCAGGGAAGTGTCTTGGCCTCCAGGTGTCCACTGACGGGAGTATCATTAAAATGAAAAAGGGAATGTTTTTCTGATATGGTCACTTGTAATTTGCATAAACTGTCAATCAAGGCCAGCAGGAGCTGCGAGAAGTTCGGGTTTTCGGTTTGAGAAGCGAGCACGAGTTAGTGCAGCTTCAAGAATCGTACCTCCTGCCTGGCAGTGAAAGACAATCTGTTCCTGGTCCAGTCTCTGTTCAACTGTCCAAGTGAGCATCTCTGACAAAAACTCACCAAATGCTTTTGCAATTGCAATGCTCTCCAGCAATCCCATGAAAGGAATCACAGCTAGACCTCCGCCAAAGCCCTGTGCACGTACAAAGAGGAAGACAAAGACATCAGCCGTGAGATGGTAAAAATATATGTCCCGCCCTCACCTGGACTCCTTACCTCCACAATCTCTCCAAACGTTACCACAGTGCCATTGGCGGTGGTGTCTGAGGTGGGCGGGGGCCTGAAGGGTGGAAGCCCCTGGGTAGTTTTCCCAGTGATTGAGAAAACATGAAGGCCAGAAGCTTCACACGAAAAGGCGCAAAAAGATGCGGCCACGACTACGAGGGCGTTACGCACTGATCAAAACACAAAAGACATTGAAGGAGAACTGTTGCGCAGACACGCTGCAGGCCAAATGAAGGGAGTGTTGTACACTGGCACTGACTGGTAGCAACAGCCCACACAAATCTTCTGGCAGCTCTGGGGAACCTGGGAGCATCATCACAATCATCATCATCGGGTTCCAGGCTTGTCTTCATTGACGTCAGCATGATCAGCAAGGCTACACAGAGCAGACCAAGGACCACATCGCCTATTCGCGCCTCGGGGATCTTGTAAAATGTGTAGTAAACCTGTGGGAAGAACTCGTGGGGAATATCTTGGAGTCCCAGGATATTCTAGAAATAGAATTTAAAATATGAAAAAGGCCAGGAGGAAAATTAACTGTTAATGTCACATGTGTCATCATTCCAGAAAGCCTTTGAAAAATTATGGTATAGTATCATCAGATGAACCATGAAATAATGTGACGCCTATTCAGCTAACCGTATGTTAATTTGTTACTTTGGCTCAATTAACTTTATTGCTAGAGGGCATTCGGAGGGCATTTTCTTGTTGCTCTCGTTAGTGTGTTTTCACTGCTTGGTGCCTTGTGTTTGTGCAATTACAATGATTACCTCACCTTCACCTGCCCAAAGCCAATTGTTATTGCCGCAGCACAAGTAAAGCCTTTTATAACAGGGAATGAGATGAAGTCCAAGAGAAAGCCTGCAACAGAAGATTTAACACATTACATTTGGACCTGCAATGTGACAAAGTTGATGTCGCAGCGGAATGTAACACCATATTGCTTTGTCATGCTCATAATGGATACAAATATCCTTCGACAGAATGTGACGCTTGTTTTTGTGAGGTCAACTGCTACAAAATTAAATCACTCCATGTTCACATGATTTGAGTGGTTCCCTCCCCTCACCTAATCTCAGGAATGCCAGGGAAGCCTGGATGAGACCACAGAGGAGGCTGAGCAGCACAGCTCGGTGCGGTTCACCCCCCACCAACGAGAAGCAAAGAAGGGACATGATGGCTGTGGGGCCCAGCGTCACATCCTTGGATGTCCCGAGGAAGGTGTAGATGAAGCCTCCCATGAAGGCAGAGTAGAGCCCGTACTGTGTGTGCAAACGTGATTGTGTTGAAATTGGCTGTAACTCTGCATCAAATGATCAGGTCATCTCATAACACTGAGAGGGCGAGGGGGGCAATTCAGTCAAACAGATTCATAGTTTGGTACTTGTGGGTTGGCAACTGTGGCACCTCAACATAGTTCCTTGACACCAAAGATGCCATGATATGGTAACAAAGCATTAATTGTGTCTAAATGAAACTTCACTGTTTACTTCAACATAGTATAACACCAAGATGCCATTTGACATCATCAATGTAACTTCATGCCTTCATTTTATTTTGTATTTGATATTTATTTATCTTGTTTTATCAGTTTTTTGGCTCACCTCTTCTTACATTGATATGATTTACGGATGCTAAAATGTTACTTAAAACATGACTTGTGGACTCCATGAAAGTTTTATGATTGCAATCCTAGATTATTTTTTATAATATCCATTGTTTTCAAATGTGAAAAAAAAAGTGTATTCCAATTTTTTTTTTTTAACCAAAAAATCTGATATGCCACTTTATAGATAGGACTTACCTGCACGGGAAGGCCTGCTACTTCTGCATAGGCCAAGGCCTGCGGAACAGTTGTCAGTCCAACAGTGACGCCGGCGAGGAGATCCATCTGAAGCCATTTCAGCTTGTATTTGGGTAGCCAGGAGAGAATAGGCAACCACGCCTTTAGCCTCCTGCTGGAGCAGCAGCCACTCTGTCTTTCTCTCTCCTCTCTTTGTAGCAGAGGTTGGTCCATGGTGAGGAAAAGGTTGAGTAGTATGTGTAAGAGGAGATTCTGCAGAGGTGATTGTTGTCAGAAGTCACAAGTGGGGGGAAATGTTGTTATGTAAATACAGGTACCATTAAATTCGGGTACAGTACTGTAATTACAATATCAAATCCACTTACACAGAAAGACGAAAGTTCCTCCTTTTGTTTTATATGTCACTCATGTTGTTATTGCACTGGTGATGTGTTCCTCTAACTTACTGGCACCTCTTTAGGAACATGATGTGAAAAAGATCTCACTATTTTTGTCGATTTCGTCACACTGAAAGCACAAAGCAAATGGATGTGAAGAAGAAGACTCGTTTTTATTTGTACACACATGTGAATGAAATCTGACCTCTGCATTTGACACTTCATAGTAGTGGACATAGCAAACACACACTGGAGAAGGGGGCTACTGAAGCACACAGGGTGTCAGTGTCTTATGGCAATCATAAATGTGCGCACTAGTTCACTAGTAAGCTCATTTTAGCGCCTACTCGTTGACATGTAAGGCCATAAACGTGTGCACTAGTGCTACCACTTACATTACATGCAAATAAGGATGAATACGAATGCATGCAACAGTTTCCTATTGGCTGTCCATTTCAAAATACAGTGGTACCTCTACGTATGAAAGTCACTTCATACGAAATTATCAAGTCACAAAACGCCTCAACATGAAAATATTGCCTCTTGTCATGCAAGAAATTTCAAGATACGAAAGGTAAAAATATAGTATGGATCGCCCGTCACAGCTCCGAGTTTCATGACTCAACACACTTATAGCTGCTCTACCATTGGCTGTTCCCGAAGTATCATCCTGGAATCCCTTTGGCTAAGAGGGATCTCTACCGTGTGTGTCTGTGTGTCGATAGAAAGATGTCTATTTAAGCAGCGTCCACGCCATTCGCCTCTCGGGCCATGAGGTCTCCTCTAGTTTTACGAAAATGTGAATCCCCGAAAAAGTGTTCACCAGTCGGGCGATCGCTCACTCTGCTGATGTTTGCCTTGGACATTTTCGAAGGATTGTCAAAAGCCGATGAAAGCAAACGTCCTTGGATCGGTTCTTTACAAAACGTCAGGCAAAAAACACTTTCACCAGAGAACATGAACTAAAGAGGGCAGTTAAAGGTTAGAGTCCCTTATAACAGGCGAGAGGAGATGACATTACACTACAGTATTCGCACCAGGTGCTGAAAGGGAGGGGACAACCCTCCAATGCCACCTGCTGGAGACAGACAGGACAGAGTTATCACACACCCACTGGTCATTATGCATCTGCATACTGTATAGTATCTCAAGTGCTTATCTATCCCATTTTGTGGGCAGTATCACATCGGTGAAATTAGTGACATATTCGATGAAGATATTTTTAATGTAAGATTTAATAAATTTATAATTAATACATAATAGGTATTGTGTGTGTGTGTGTGTGTGTGTGTGTGTGTGTGTGTTTGATTTTTTTATAACTGTGTACCTACTTTTGCACCTCACTGTATATATAGAGGGAGAAAGACAGAAAAGATTCATCAAAAGTATGAATTGTTTTTATATAATCACTACTTTCTTTTTCAGGTATTACGAGCCGGGCTCATATGGGTTAATGCTTTAAGACTGAATATTTATTGTCTGAATATTAACCAATCAAAATTCTTGTCCCGCCTGCTTCATTTTCATGCAGTCTACTTGCGAACATGTAGGTGTTTGAGTCGCAATTGAATGTGAATGATCACATGTTACAGTTCACATGTTCACTAGTAAGAGCCAAATGTCCACTGGATACACTAGTTAAGGTGTTCCGGCCTTAGCAGTTAACTTGTCAGTTTACAAATTGATCACTAGCTCACTAGTAAGGCATATTATGTCCACTAGTTACACCAGTTGGATCTTCCCAACCTTACTAGCTAACTAGTGAGGTTCAAGATGTTCACTAGTTAACTTGTAAATGCAACAATATCCACGAGTTGGGACTAGTTGGTCTCATTTCGACCTCACTTGTTAACTAGTGAAACATGTTTTCTTTCTAGTAAACTAGTTGTCCAGAGTGAGTCACTAGTTAACTAGAGACACTCGTGTTTATTCAACTAGTTAACTAGTGGAAGACATTTTGTCTCATTAGTCAAACCAAGAAATGAACTTGTGCAAGATTTGACTGAACACGTTTGACATTTTTCCAACACGTTGGGCTTTTCTTTTCACTAGTTGGTGTTTATGCAGCACTAGTGAGCAACTGTGCACAACGTGTGCAACAAATATCTAACATGTAGGGATTGATGTTGCACTAGCTCATGTTTTTGGCATACTAGCTGGCATGTACATTGTACTAGTTAAATAAAATGGCTTACTAGTTGACATGTGTGCACAACTAGTGAACTGTAAAACATGTAAACTAGCCAAATGTGATTATTTCACTAGTAAACTAGATGTGCGCACATGTCACCTAGTGCCCAATTTTATCAAAGTCTATACAAGTTCAGCATTGAGCCTGACAAGTGAGACAAAATACGTTCCACAAGTTAACTAGTGATATGAAAATCTGTGTCACTAGCTAACTAGTGTCTCACTCTGAACCCAACTAGTTTACTAGTGAGTAAACATGTGTATCACTAGTTAACAAGTAAAGTGAAAATGATCCCAACTAGTGTAACTAGTGGATATCGCTACATTGACTAGTGAACTTGTTCACATTTTGAAACCGTTTAGTTCACGTGTAAGGTCAAATCGATTGCAACTAGTTTACTAGTTTGCATTCACTCGTCGACATGTAACCAATAATGGGCATCCTCTAGTGAACTAGCTGCAAATCCTCAGGACAACTTGTAAACTAGTGTAAAACATGCAAATGAAGTGGGTGTGATTATGACAAAATCTGAATCCCGATTGGTGTATTTTAACTGCAGATCCAATAGGTATGGATGCTGTGGGCGGATGGTCTTGAACGGGTATTCCCACGGAGGCAAAGGACAATCTTAAGCAACAATAACACGTTTATAGACTATGAACACACGAGAATCACATGACACGTTCGCTAACCGTCTTTCACGCTCAAGCAACAACTCTCTCAGTTGCTATGAGAGTGTCTATACGCGTTAATTATCGTAACATTTCATAACAAACAGTTACTTATGCTCCATGGGTGGTATCAAGTTGATAAATGTGGATACAACCTGCACAAAGCGGCGAATAAAGTGTGACTAAGATTTTGAAACTGTCATCTTATAAAAGTGGTGATTGGATCAGAATCATAAAAACGACAAAAGACAAATTCGGACAATTCATAAGCTCAAATCCAATCAAAAAATTGTGGTTCCATCTTACAATTGCGATTGCACAGGTCTTCGTTTGCCGCTCAGTGGTGCACGAAACACTTCGCAAAAAGCATCCCCATCGAGCCTTCCGGCTCTAAAACGTCACAAGGCTTCGGTCATGTGATTAGATGCGGGGGGGGGGGGTTGTTTGCGGAAATGGATAGTTTCGTGATCATTTTTTTGCAGGCTAGAAGATCTCGTACTCGAGTACAGGACAATGTGAAATACAATACTCCCATTCCTACACTACAATACTCCCATTCCCATTTCAACTTCGCGAAGTTTCCAAATGACTAATCCGGACATTATTAAAATGACCAAGCTGCTCAAGCAATTTCTTTGGGTTTTGCTTCTCTGTCGCCTTGGGGAGTCCAAGAGAAGAAATGTTCTTCTAATTATCGGTGAGTAATTACGTTTTAAACTGCGTGGGCCGAGTGCAAAACAAACACTAAAAATCGCTTTGCTAAAATTTGGCTGAATACAAGTTAAGACTAAAGTGTTCGCACTTCAGCATCAGGTCCACCGAAGACTAACAAAAGAAACAACAGTGACGTCAGTAAATGATTCACAATGAACTTGCAATAAGAATAAATACAGTTCTAAATACAGAACAATAGTGCATCTCTTGCGAGTACAGGAGTACTCGCATTGTATACACAGGTACAGTACAGATTAACTGTTAAAACAATAATATTTTGACAAAAGCAGAAGTAATCGACTTCTTAAGGAAAAATAAACAGTACAGATTCTGAAAATGTACTGCAGTACAAAAATAACATGAAACTTTATTGTAAATTTAATTTATTTTTTAAATCTATTTTTCCCCCTCTTCCAGCTGATGATGCAGGGTTTGAGACTGAGGTGTACAACAACTCAGTGGTCCACACCCCTCACCTGCGTTCTCTGGCTCAGCGCAGTGTTGTGTTCAAAAATGCTTTCACCTCTGTCAGCAGCTGTTCCCCGAGCCGCTCCGCCATCCTCAGTGGCTTGCCGCAGGTAACAGACACATGCAATACCGTATGCATCCAAGTCTTTTTTTTTTGGAATTATGTTATCAGTCAGATGGAGTTGGTATGTCCCCCCCGCCCCCCACCCCCCGGCTGGTTTTAAACAGTTTCCCAGGGTTTTAATTACATTTCCTGAAAATACCCCCTGGATCAAGAATAACAATACGCTATACAGAGCTTTCTTTTTTGAAATCCTTAGATGCATAAGTGGGTTCAATAATGACAGTATGTATGTAATTTTAATTTTTTATCATCTCATCTTCCATGTTTTCCTCAAATCGGTTGTCTTTGACATGAGGCTTTATGGATTTATTGTTCTCTTTACCGGTATTCCTCCTTCCAGTGTTGTCATTGAATGCAGCACATATGGACTGCGCTGATGTCTGCCTCCACTAGTGTTGCATCGCTGTAAAGAAATAATGGGATTACACTCACCTCGGATGAAGAGAACCCAAACTATTGTCCAGAATTGCCTGGCTATTTTCAATTACAGGGTCACGTTGAAATCTATCCTCAATACCAGATGGACGTAAATGAGTCATCTGGCCAGGGCCAATGCCGTTTTGTGCTAAAATGTTCATTGAAAAGTAATCAATCAACATACCAAACATGAAATAATGTTTTTTTTTTTGTCCGCGGAAATCTCATACAAATCTTCTTTAACCAAAATGAAAGGTGTAGGTTTGATAGGTCATACAGCTATGGGTTAATGGTAGTCAACTGGAAACCATGTTACAACTATTGTTTCCTGCCTCCTTAGCACCAGAATGGCATGTATGGCCTTCACCAGGGGTTCCATCATTTTAACTCTTTCGATGGCGTCCGAAGTCTGCCGTTGCTCCTCAGCCAAGCTAACATACACACGGGTTTGTAATAAAGTTTATTCTCCCCTCCCGTTATAGACAAATTGCAAACATGTGTTCATCCGTATTTCTGTCATTTTCACTGTCAGGTATAATTGGAAAAAAACATGTTGGTCCTGGATCGGTGTACCCTTTTGACTTTGCGTACACGGAGGAAAACAACTCTGTCCTTCAGGTGGGGCGAAACATCACCCGCATCAAACTTCTCGTCCGAAAGTTTTTCCAGACCCATCAAGAGGAAGCTTTTTTCAGAAAACAAAAAGCAGAGAAGAACACGGGAAACAATTTGAAAGATGAAGAAAGGCCTTTTTTCCTCTACGTCGCCTTCCATGACACCCACCGCTGCGGCCACTCCCAACCTCAGTACGGTGCTTTCTGTGAGAAGTTTGGGAATGGGGAGATGGGAATGGGCAGAATTCCAGACTGGACCCCACAATATTATACACCAGAGCAAGTTAAGGTCAGTGATTAAATGACAATTACTGGCATGTTGAATGTTTTCAGTCTTTATTTAATTTTGTCAATTGTATGTGATGATATACATGCAAATTCAGACTCTGTTTGCTCTCCAAATCCTAAACTGGCTTCTGTTATGTAATGCAGGTTCCCCCTTTTGTACCGGACACATCTGCAGCACGAGCTGACTTAGCCGCATTGTACACTACAGTTAGCCGACTGGATCAAGGTACAGTATGTGCACACCACAAATTCATTCATGTGAAACAATCGAGTGCATTTTTCTGTGCAGGTATTGGATTAGTTCTTCAAGAACTCAGGGACGCCGGTTATGAGAATGACACTCTGATCATCTACAGCTCCGATAACGGGATCCCATTCCCCAACGGCAGAACCAACCTGTATCAGTCCGGCACAGCGGAGCCCATGCTGGTGTCCTCTCCAGAGCACAGGGAGCGATGGGGAGGCACCAGCCAGGCCTATGTCAGTTTATTAGGTAAGAGGTGGGATGCATCCAGTGTTCTCTTGAGAAGAGAAAAAAAAAAAAAAAACGTGGAACCCATTGACTGTGATCTCAGCGCGCAGTTCCTGATGTATACCGAAGCGCAGATCCACCAAGAAACGCCCTGTGATTGTTAGCTCTCCAGAGCACAGGGAGCGATGGGGAGGCACCAGCCAGGCCTATGTCAGTTTATTAGGTAAGAGGTGGGATGCATCCAGTGTTCTCTTGAGAAGAGAAAAAAAAAAAAACATGTGGAACCCATTGACTGTGATCTCAGCGCGCAGTTCCTGATGTATACCGAAGCGCAGATCCACCAAGAAACGCCCTGTGATTGTTAGGCTCTTAATTGGCCACCAGAGGGAGACTGTATTTCATACCAACGTGGTAACCCCCCAGGTAGATGGGTCGCCAGCGGCATTGGTGCCAAAGTAAAACTTTTATTCCTGTTATGAGTTGCAAACTATGTTTCTAGAAGTTCTCAAAAATTATACTTGTCATGTGACCTGTAATCTGTCCTCTTTTTGTCAGATATCACTCCCACCATCCTGGACTGGTTCTCTATTCCCTACCCGTCATACAGCCTCCCTGGCAGCACCACAGCCCCAGTTCACCTCACTGGTCGCTCTTTGCTTCCTGTCCTGGTCACTGAGCCCAGCAGTTGGCACACAGTCTACGCCAGCCAGTCACTGCACGAGGTGTGTAAGTGCGCAAACATTCAGACCTGAGCCCATTTTCTCCAGCATGGCAAACATAAGTGGTAGTGGGAAGTAATGGAGTACAAACGCTTTATTAGAAGTACTTGAGTAGATTTTTGGCAGGTTATCTGTAGCAGTGTGCTTAACTCTAGTGTTTAACTTCCTGACATTTTACTTTCACTCCTTACATTTGAAAAGCGATGGCTGTACTCCTTGCATTGTCAAAATAGACTCTTTACTTTTTTCAACCTTATTTCATGGTTCGAGAAGTAAAGTTAACGGAGGTTGTGGTCTTGATTGCTTGAGATCTTGCCTTCGGCAAAAACTGGGAGAGCAATGACATGGAGGAACACAAACCAGGGAGCATGAACAAAAGTGACGCAACAGATTCGGAGAAGCAAGATATTCCCCATACGTGACCTTATTTAAGACAATTATTTGATGTTGTTGGCTTCAAGGATGATTTGTGGTCAAATTTAAGCTAAGTTATCAGAACTAGGGCCTGACTTCTTTTTTTGAGGCCATTGCCAATTTTGGCAAAAACAAATATATTACTGTTGTGAGGATAAGTAGTTGAATGGATAATGGATAAAATCCCCCCACCCCCACCCCTAATTTACTTCAATGCTTGTCAGTTATATGCAGCTTTTTGCTATTCCCAGGCGGGCTTGATTCCCTGTGACGTGCGGAGGTCAACTATGAATGTATTGTTCCGAAAAATAGCTTTTCCTTTTTGGGTCCCAGAATCCATTGATTGATGCCATGGATGTGATCAGCAAAGTTGTCAGGACATTCATTATACAATACACAACCTTATTTCTAGAGCAGATTTCACAACAGCTGCAGCTGTTAAAAAGCACTGAGTGGCATCCAATTAAAAGTATTGCTTGTAAAAATTAAGAATTGTAATGTTTTGAATGACCTTGTCAATCTTTTGTTGATCATTTTGTGAAATATATTTAAGGATATAAAGTTATGATCCAGATTTTGGTGTAATAAATAAATAAATAAATCTGACCGGTGTTACTTTCATTTAACTGCAGTGACTGGTTAGAGAACACAAAGGTAAGGAGTAATCTGCAAACATTGGCTATTTGGACGATTATTATTGTTTGAAGGGCTATAATCGGTTGGGTCCTAATCAAAACAGCTATTGTCTATAATAGAGATCAAAAAATGCCTTTTTTGCAGGTTTCATAGTCTGTACTTGTTTACTTTTATTTGAGTACGGGTGTTGAATCAGTACTATTCACGCTTTTTTAAACAAGTAACTACTTTAACTGAAGTGGGGAGTGTGAGTCCTTCAGAACCTTTTTTTTTTTTTTTGTCTGTTTCCAACCAGGTCACCATGTACTACCCAATGCGTTGTGTCCACCAGGGGGCGTACCGCCTCCTCCACAACCTGCACTACCGCATGCCCTTCCCCATCGACCAGGACCTGTACGTTTCGGCCACCTTCCAGGACATTCTGAACCGTACCAGGCGGAGTGAGCCCACGCACTGGTTCAAAAGCCTGCAGCAGTATTACTACAGAGAGCGCTGGGAGCTGTACGACATCAGGTCTGCTTTCATCAG